AGGAAGAGGAAGTGATGTACCTGGGCTGAGAGAGCAAATGAGGAGCAGGACAGAAAAGCATATAGGTGTGGGTATACAGGAAGTAGCTCTCTTTGGAGACTGAGGTGTCGGTGAGGTGAGGTTAGCTTGTGGCTTTTCCTATTCCTCTGGTCTCTCAGGTTTTCATCCATATATCTGGCTCTGGGTTTTTATTTAATAAGACCGTTTAGCAAATTCGTCTAAAGTGATGAATCCACACAATTGGTATTTCTGTTCTGAGCCCATCGACTAGGCAGAGTTTACAGTGAAACCTGGTCTAGGAAATGACTTCTGGTTCCACCAGGAGGTAGATGTGTTATCCTTGGGCCTGTAACCTTGCCTTTTTACAAAGCTTTCTCCTAACTCCAGTTGAAATACATAGTGTGTTGAGTAATGCCACATGCCCAGGGAAGGATTGTGCAGGGAAAGAAAACAGGAGGTCCATGGTGAGGCTTTAGATGAGAAAGTCAGGGGAGGTGCCATGGAGGCACCTGCCATGGAGTTTAGAATCAAGACCCTAAAGAAGATGGGAGCCAGCCATGCTGGTTCCATCCCATCCCCACCCTGTCTTCAAGTCCATCCTTGGAGGTGGGCAGAGTTATTCCTAATCCCTCTCTCTGGCCCCAAAGCCTGTTGGCCTCTCCCCCCAAACAACCTTAGCTCCTGCTCTACAGGTTCCCACAGCCTGTCCTTGCTGCCGGTCCCCACGGTCCCCACAGTGGCCTTCTCACAAGGTCCCACTCCCCTCCCACCTAATTCCCTTCCACCTAAATCCTCCTCTTGGTATGTAGAGAGGGTGGAGGCTGACCTCCTGTGTGAACACCTGGAGTCCCCTCAGGCCTGAAGCTTTGCCCTTTGTCCCTTCTTGAATTCCAATCCCTCAGGATTCTGGCTGGCTTCACTCACCCCTCCTGGGGTCCTTTTTGCCTCAGCCACTCACTCAGACGGCCTAGAGACAGCCTCCACTTCCGCCTTCTCCCTACCTCACCCAGAGTGACATGCGAACAAGCCCAAACCAGTGTCCACCTCCCTGATCTTGTTTATCTGTGAGGACAGAATGTCTGTAGACCTGACGTCCGTCTTCAGGTAGGTTGGCTGAAAATGATTAGGTCTTAGGTTAACTTAGATTAACTTCATGATAATCCCACCTGCATACTAAACAACACGACCCCGTGTGCCCAGACAGTTGACTACAGCCAAGGCTGTGGCTGAGGAAAAGGAAATTAAAAAGAAAAGAAGCAGAGCCTTTATTCCAGAAAATCTCTGTACTCCCAGAAAGACAAGACTAGCCTTCGCTTTTATTAGCCTATCCCTTCCCCAGATTAGCCTCAACTCATGGCAATCCTCCTGCCTTGGCCGACCCAAGTGTTGGGATTGCCAGAGGGAGCTACTGTGTCTGGTTCCCCTCATTTTCTTTCTAGCCTGTATCTGTAACCACCATCGCCTCCTATGCCTGCTCCTCCTCTTCCTCCCTCCTCCCTTACTGCTCAGTTGGTGCTCCACTTCGTTATTGGTTCTGAGAAGGGGAAAAACAGGTCCGGTTTGAAGGCAAAAACTGATGCAGCCAGCCCCGTGCAGAGCACGTGAGCAGGTATGCCTCACGAGCTGCACCCCTGTCCTTCATTTACTTATTTAAAAATATGTTTGTGAAAGTACTCCCTGCTTCTAGGGGACCCTAGCAAGTGCCCTGGTCTGTAGAAAACGAAAACAGTGTTCCCCTTGCCCTTTGCACCTGCGGCTGTTCACGCCCTGCTGCCTGCCTCTGTCCCCTCCGCTGCTCCCCGAGGAAGCCTGAAGCTGCTTTTCCGTTCAACTCTGTGAGTTCTGTGCACATCTCCAGCTTGGAGCCTTGTGTGACACCGACCCAGCCCCCTAGTCTCTCTGAACAGTGAGAAAATGCAGACTCAGGTCATCTGGACTCAGGCCGATGGCCATCCTTTAGTCACCCAGTTCTGTTGGGGCTTTGAATATTCCTGCTGTCCTGAGGTCGCCTGAAAGAGAAGGGAACCGGTCCATTCCCTCCCACAGGACTGCGGAGGAGCATGGCTGCCGATCTTGGCTTAGATAGCGACTTCCCAGATTCCTGAGTACTTACAGCCGTGTGTGTGGCCCTGACTCAGAAATGTCCAATGAATGAGTAATGAAGGGACAGCTGAGCAATTCCACCTTCTCAAGCAACCTGCCCTCCTACCCAGCAGGCCAGTGGAACCCCCGCAGAGAATTCTTGGGACTGAGGAACCAGTGTCCTAGCTTGAGACAGGAGCCAGACTGAGAACTCACAACTCTGGGTTGGAACTTTCTTTGCACAGTGGCTTCTCATTTTATGCCCGTAAGATCTCTTGAACAACTTACCAGAACATTCCTGCGTTTTATTTTGAGGACCAAAAATATCCCATCAATAAAGATAAATATGCCCACGATCTATATTCTCCCATCTCTTAATCCGTAAGCACTCCGGCTTTGGAGCACAGCAGATGCACCGTCCCCTCTCTCGGGCACATTTCTGTCCTTGCTGATTTCCTCGCTCTCCCTCCCCCAGTGACTCATGCCCACATTCCCTGCAGGCAGCTGGCTCCCTGGCCCTCCCAGCCTGCAGGGATGCCTCAGGGACTGGCTCCCCTTGAGACTTGGCTCTGCATTACGGGGAGACCTTTCATACTCCTTTCCCTCCTGAGCAGCCACCTCGCGACTTTTATTAATTAAGCGCTGATTTATCATTTTATGTATTTCCTCCAATGTCCACTGCAGGCAGGGGAGGATGGAAGAGTGGCCCAGCATGCCTTGCTTACAGTTGCGCAGGATGGAAGCTGTCTGAGCTTGCAGCCTTCTCCCAAGGTCCGTAGCTAGAATTCTGAGAACCACTGCGCCTTCCTATCCCTAAGACAGGGAGCGTTGACAGGTATTCCTCAAGAGGGAGAATGCTCCTGAAAAGAACCGGGCCTCAGTAAAGTCCTGTAGAGAACTAGTGCTACTGAGATCGATCTCAAGACAAGCCAGGCAGGGCGGGGCTTTATGACTCCAGGAAGAGGCGTGGCAGATGGACAGTGGCTGGCTGGCTGGCTGGCTGGCTGGTTGAGTCGGCCACCATCAGAGTCAGAACATACACAAGTCAATCCTGTGCCTCCTCTGCCTTCACTGAGGCCTAATATGTGTGCCCCGGGGATGCTGGTGCTGAGGACGCCTAAGAGGACAACTATTGTTGTCACAGATGGCCAGCAGGCTGTCCCTCCCCACCCCACCCCCACCAGTCTCCAAAGAGCTCAGTGAAGTTCTCCTAACCATCTGAAAGAGATAGGTCTACAGGCACATGCATGAAACATACCTATGCAGACATGCATCCGCATGCACTCTTTGTAAAGACTTTGGATGTTTTACATCCGCTGCTCATCCATCTCTCTGGTGTCAGTGAATTATCTGCCTGCCCCAGAGCAGCCAGTACTTGAAGATGAAGACGGTGGTATTCTACAGCACCAATGTATTCCTGGGAATGTGGAAAAGACGGGCTTCAGTTTGATCTAGCCACAGAGGTCTGTGGGGGCAGATGACTGAGCATTTATAATTAATAATAACTCTCTGTGTGGTTATTTGGGGAGTGGCTCCACGTACAGACCCCCCCCCCCCGTCCCGGGCCTCATACTGACCACCCACCCTTCCTACACCTTACCACCATGAGCACATCAAGGTTCAGAACTCCATGCCGTGTTCTCTTCCATGGGCCTCGGGATTTCTACTGCAGCACATACCCAGTCCAAGATTTGTGTGTGTTCCATAAAACACAAGAACTGGAATAGTCATGGAAGTGCCATCATGTGGTGGTGAGGAGTGTGGTTGGGGAGAGAGAACAAATGTTTTCTTAACCATTGGCTACGTGAGGTAGTGGTGGCCTATTCATACAGTGGAGCACTATGAAGCAGTGAAATGGATGAGCCCTGCCGCACACAGTGTGAATGGATGCCACCATCCTAAGTTTATCCCCAAAAAAGCCAAGCACAGAAAGTCACGTGATGCATGATTTCATTAGTATAACATTTAGGGACTCAATCAGAGTTCTGATTACTAATACCTAGTATTAGTAATCCAATAGTGTCTACCTCAGAGGAGGTAGAAGTGACTGGGACAGGGATCGGGATGTTTAGGGAACCCTGAGAATGTGTGATTTGTTGAGCAGCAGTCATGCAGCTGAGCTCAGGATGATAACTGTCAATCTATGCACTGGTGGCTTTTCTGAAGTATGTGACACTTCCAGTCAGCTTTAAAAGCTTAGTCTTTCATGCCTGTCTCTACTTTCAGAACTGTCAAAGGAGGCTGAGAAGGACAAAGCATGTAAAGGGTGAAACCCATAATTCACTAAGCACTGGATTAGTAGCTGTTACTAATTAGTACTCAGTAAACATCTGGGCAGTTAAGCTGTACTTAGCCAAGCTCCTTCCCACTCTGAACTCCTTCAGTCTCCATGGCTAGAGGCCTGCCCTTCCAAGAGCCACCGTGGACCCCCATCATACTGTTCGCCCTACATCCCCAGCCTCTGGGGAACATGGTGCCTCCATCCCACCTAGCAGTTCAGAAGGACCTCCTCCAGGTCCCTGACCCTTGCAGAGAGGGTTCCCTGAACTGTGATGGGACCACCTAGTCATTCCTCCGTGTCTGAGCTGTAATTGTGACCCATGGCATTTCCTCTCTCAACTTTCTCAAACCAGATATCAGATTAGGAATCCCACTCCCTGTGTCCCACAGACTTCCTGCAGTGCATTTAGCACAGAGAACAGCACTGGGGATGAAGATGCCCCTGAGGGAAACAGGAGCCCTCAGGAAACAGCATCCAGAGTCGGAAGGAAACTGGAGAGGCAAAGTGAAGCTACTCCATGAGGAAACAGACCTGTGAAGCCTGGGTACAGGGGAGAGGAGGAAGGGAAGGAGAGAGGAGGGGAGGGGAAGGAGAGGGGAGGGAAGGAAAGAAGGGAAGAAGGGAGGAAGGGAAGGGAAGGGAGAATAAGCAAACAAATGAGGTAGCAAAGTCATCTGTCCTTCCTGCCTGAATTGACAGTGCCCTGGCTCCATTCCCTTCTTTAACATCCCTTTCTATATTGAGGTTAAGGCGGATTGGGCTGGGATAGGCCCTAAACCTGCTGTTACTGGTGTCTTCACAAGAAGAGGACCATTTGGACACAGTCACACAGATGCTTACATAGTGGAGAAGAAGGTCCTGGCCCTGCTTAGCATTACGTCAACTTGACACACGCTGGAGTCATTTGGGGAGAGGGACTCCCACCTGAGAAAATACCCCATAAGACCTGTCTGTAAGCGAGTCTGCGAGACATTCTCTTGGTTAATGATGGACGTGGGTGGGCCCAGCTCACTGTGGGCAGTGCCATCTCTGGGCAGGTGGTCCTGGGTAGTATCAAAAAGCAGACTGAGCAAGCCTTGAGAAGCAAGCCAGTAAGCTGGTAAATGGCACTCCTCCATGACCTCTGCATCAGCTCCTGCCTCCACGTGCTTGCCTTGCATGCCTGCCCTGACCTCCCTGCATGACGGACTACAAGCTTTCAAAGAAACCCTTTCCTCCCCAAGTTGCTTTTGGTCATGGTGTTTATCACAGCAGCAGACACCCTCACCAACACAGCCCAGGGCTAGAGTGATGCTTCCCAGCAAGAGTGTGTGCTGGGAGTTAGAGGAGTGAGGAGGGTCCTCCCTTCAGCCTTCAGAAAACACGTGATCTCTGAAGCTGGGAGATGGGTAGTATCTGGGATCTAACATCGTTTCTGGCACTGTGGTATGGTAACCCGGGAAACTGACAATTACCCATTATTCACTGAGATCTGAAATAGCTCAGAAATGAGGCTGAGGGCCTGGAGTCAGGTAACCAGGCCTTTCTGCTGTGGTAAGGAAGCACATAACTTACCCCCAAAGCAGAGTTTTACTGAGGCACAGTAGGGTTCCCTGTCCCCAGCATTCAAACTGCCGGGTTTTCTCTCAGGAGTGTGTACATATCCTGAGTCCGTTGACTTCCAAACTTAACTCACTTGTATGTGGGAGGTTGGTGAGCCATGGCTTGTAACTGTTTGATGGAGACACGAATCCACATTCCAAATAAATGCCTCACAATTATACATTAATAAGCACCTTCATTCATAACCTGAGAGATGTTCACCTTTTGGTTTCACTTCCTTCTTGGAAAAGCAGCATTACTGAGATTCACAGACTAACTCTTGTTTCCACGAGACTCACTGCCAGGCTGTTACGTCCTAAATGCGCCTTCTTCCTTACGTCCTGTGTGGAGGGGGCAAGCTAGAGTATGGACAACAAGCAAGAGAAATTTGATGAAGCATAGTCAGTATCCCTAGCTAACTAATGTACACACATGCCCCTCCGTTTACGGTGGGGTCACCATGCTCCTCTGCACCCACGGTAAGATAAACACAGTGAAAATGCCCTTTAACCTACTTGCTCACTTCTGAGTCCTGGTTCACTGCTGCAGTTCCCAGCCCCGTGAGGGAGTGCCATTTCATGCTCAGCCCATTGAGAGATGGCAATTCCAAGCCCTTTCCGGGGAAGAATGCACATCCGTTCCATACAGCTGCTATGCTGAAAACTCCAAGTTGAACTAGCGTCAGGTTGTCACGATTCCACAAATGTAGGACCCAGCATCTGACCATCTTCATGATCTTCTCAGAGAGGACAAGAGAACAGGGGTGATGGTGGGGTTTGTGAGTGTCTCACAAAGGCTTGGTCCCATTGCGGAGATGTTGGGATGAGGCAGAGTCCAGAGGAGTCGTGGGAGCATCTCCCTTCGAGGGAGTGAAGTTGTCCTCACGGACCCCAGTTAGTTCTCATCCTCTTTTGTTATAAAGAGCCGACATGCTGCTCAGCAGCTGGATGACTTCCAGTCTGTGGTGTGGTCTCTTTCCCTCAAGTGATCCCCCATCATCTTGATACCGTCCACTATTCAGTTCCTAACAGAGCCACACTGATGCCCATGTATATGCTGTGAACCAAATCCAAATGTGTGTGTGCGTGCGTGCGTGCGTGAGTGTGTGTGTGTGTGTGTGTGTTTCTGGGGAGCCAACCCAGGCACCACACCCCTACACTCTACCACCAAGCTGTACCATCTACCCAAACCTCCCTTCTTTTAATTTATTGGTTTTTGTTTTGTTGTTGCTCTTAGAGTTGTTAGGTATCTCAAGTTGACTACAGACTTCTCTGTAACAGAGAGTAAATAACCTTGACCTCGAGCTTTGGAAGCTCCTGCTTCTTCCTCCTGAGTCATGGGAATACAAGTGTGACCACCATCCCCAGCTGTGCCTCTTGCACACCAGAAAATCTGCCAACAGCTACATCTCCAGCCCCAAACTTCTTTTATTGATAAATACTTGGCATCAGGTATTTTGTTATAGCACTGGGGAAAAAATTAACATGAGGAGGGTGTTGAAGACAGCATCAAAAATTTTTGACACTGTTTCTTGTCATATATGGATTCATGCAAAAGGATAGATTATCGTAGTGTATGGTGTGTAATTATGCCAGAAATTCTTGATTTAAGTAATACTTGAGTCAAAATATTTTAAGAATTTTTGTGTGTTTATAGTTTGTATTTCCTGAAGACGTGCGTTCTCGGCAGCATGTGAGGTCAGACAGAACTGGAATATGAGATCAGTCACCTGCAAAGTGTAGAAGGTACTACTTGATTCAACTGTTTCCTGGCACCAAGTTTCCAACAACCAAAGCCGCCATTTGTCTTGGCAGAGGAACTCTGTGAAAATCTGCGTTCTGACAACTGTCAAAGTCCTTTGGAGAGGGATCAGATGGAAAACTGGAACAGGTGTTTAGCCAGTCCAGATTTTCAATCGAATAATTATTTGGTCAGTTATCTTGCCACAGGAAGCTTTGGGTCTTGCAAAAGATTGAATCACTCCTCTTCCTTTTCTGTTATTTAGTATGAAAAAAACAATAAGGAAACTGAGCATTGAATTTGTTTAGGCACCAAAGCCCAGAAGTTTTTTGGAAAAGAGGGACTTGGGATATGGCTTAGTGGAGAAGGGCCTGCTGGGCATGGCAAGGGCATAGGTCTGAACCCCAGGACCACCACTACCATGTCACACACACGCACATACATACACACACACACACACACACACACACACACACACACACACACAGTGACAGAGACAGAGATAGAGAAACAGAGATACAGAGACAACAACAGAGATAGAGACAGAGAAACTGTGAATCCTCATCAAGAAGGGAAAAGAGACTAGAGAGCAGTTGACAGGATAATCCTAGCCTTTATTTGGGGGAAACCTTGCTGAGGGGGTCCCTAAAATTCAGAGCCCACTGTGTGCTCACAAGCTGGGGTGCTTATAGGCAGAAGCAGAAAGGGGATTGAAGTTTCCCTTTCACCCCAAGTTTTGCCATTGCTAGGGGTAACCAACAAACAGTCAGTTAGACATTAGATGGTCCGCAAGCATCTTTCCCAGTTGGCCATTGCTGGGGCCCATGGAGCAGGAGGGCAAGGGACTAGACACATGAGTCATTTCAGTTCTGGGGCCCAAATTACTATAGTTATGGGAACTGTTAGAGTTAACTACACGGAGGAGCTCCACAAAGTGCTGTGGCCCCAGATAATGGATTGTGGGGGAAAGTGTGGTTTTCTTGGGTCTCGGAGATTATCACAAAAGCTCATGTTTTTGAAGTGACGTGAACATTATTCAAATAAACTTGACCAAATAGGAAGTTTCAGAAAGAGAAGAGGAGGAGGGAATTGGGGGACAGGGACAGGAGGGAGGAAGGAAGAAAGGACACCACACGCGCGCGCGCACACACACACACACACACACACACACACACACACACACACACACACACACAAATAGAGTCTTGGTTGACTGTGCATCAGAAGTGCTGGGCTTCGCAGAGACAGTGAGGAAAACCAAAAGGAAGTGCTCACCTGTGGTCCACATTGCATCCGGCTTGGTGCTCTCATTCAAAACCTGGATTGTGTTAATCAATTGTATGAGCAGCTGTCAGCGCCCCCATGACTGGCCTTGCTGAGCAGGGATCTGAAAGCCAGAGAGCACTGGTCTACAGACAGTTGTTAAAGGGCCAAGGACATCGTTACCTGCTGCGTGAGGCACGCGCCCTATTCAGGGAATCCTGGAGAAAAGGCAGACAGCTGGCAACTCCTGAACATGATTTTTCAATAAACCGTATTATATCAGACAACTACACCCCTTATTAACATATTCAGATCCCACACTGAGCCATGAATATTGGGAATTGTTACTAAAATTATCTTTTATGTATGTTTTCAGCTTCAAAACTTAAAAGACAATGTTCTTTAAATAAATTTTGTTGGGGGAGGGGGAACCCTTTCATTGAACGCATATCCAGGCTGATATGGGGGCGCATTTCCAGCTGTCATCTTACTTTGAAGTTCATCGACAGACTCTCCCCACTTTCCCTACTATCCCATCTGTGCTAGGAAATATCTCCAAGGAGAATTTCTGAAGTTTGGCCTTCTGTGAAAGAAAACTTCCTGAAGGTCACTGCGAAGTCCCCTTTTGTGGCCTGCTGAGAATGTCTATTGACCTTTGCCCTGCTCAGCCTAACTAGATTTTCATTTGAGTTCACACCCTCCTCCCTGGGGAGCCTAGGCAGGGCCGGGACTCCAGATGATCCTTGCCGATAAACACAGTGTGCAACCCAGAGGCTGTTGACCATCCTTTCTACCCAGCCCTTGCAAACAAGCCCACCCTTTCCCACTGTGTGAGACAGGGAAGAGGCTGTGACTCTATCAGACCTCAGAGGGAGAAGGGCTTGGGATAAGATTGTCGGTACAAAAGGGTTAGTAGAGTTACAGGCAGGGCTGACAGTAGCTCCCCGGGGCCAGGAAGCCCCTCTGTCATTCATGCCAGATTAGGTTTAAAGTATTTGCCATGTAAAGAATCCACATGCAACAAAAATAAAACATTGAAAAAAATGAAGAATTTTGCTGAATCTGAATTTGGTGCCAGGAGGTGGGTGTGTCCCAGGAATAAATTTTAGCTAAATGCTAAAATCCCTTGACTAGCAGTGATGGTGTCTTTTAGCCTCCCGTTCTTTTCAAATGGTAATGGACACTGAACTTGGAGTCTTGTGAACTGGTCAAGTACATCAGTAGTATCGTTTTATTTTGCAACGTCTCTAAGTTGTGCAGTCTTGACCAAGCAATGTAGCCTAGACAGACCTTACACCCCCATCCTCCTGCCTCAGCCTCCCAAATAGCTAGAATTGCATGTGTGTGCCATCAGGCCTGGCTCCACTTCAGAAACGGGCATATTTGGTTATGTTCTTGCAACACAGTTAATTAAGCTCCCTTCAATTATATCATAGGAAACAGGCCATATGTGTACTGTGATAGCTTTATGGGATTTGGTAGGAAATGTTCTAGAATACACTGGGTAATTCTTGAGATATTTTTTAAGTTAAAAAAGAATAAGGAAGAAGAACCAGCTTGGGCTGAAGGTGGTGTTAATCCCACTGACCAAGAATAAGACCACTACCAGAGTTTAAAGCCAAATTTGAAGAAAGCTTTAATTTAATACTGGACTCTGGCCAGGTCCATACTCAAGCTCCTAGGAAAATGGCCCTGAGTCGTGGTTTGCAGCAGCTTAAGCAGGAAAACCCATAATTCACTGCATTTCCCATCAGGTCCAATCAGGGACAAGCATTCATTCTGATGTACCTCCAGCCTACGTCTAGTCAGGGGCAAGCGTATATCCTGATGTATTTCCTACCTGTGAAACTACAACCACGTTTGATCAAGCATATCCGGTGTAGATAGGTCAAACAAACTTGTTTAGGGGAGTGAAAACTTGTGGCTTGTTATCTCCCATGAACAATAGCCTCCAGCATTTCAGGAACTTGAGCAAGAGACTTGCAAATCAGAGACAGTTTTGTTTCATGGATCTCTTAAGCATAGTAATTAAAACTTAAAATGTAACTTCAGCTCTGACAGTGGTCCGAGTGAAATGAGCCAGCCTACAATCTCTGTGAACCATAATTGAGTCATGCATGACTGGTACATCTGACTGTGGAGGGCTGTCGAGTCGACTTCGAAGTGAGAACCCTTTCCAGCCACCAGTCCATTTCACCTGCATAGACTGCTCCACACCCAAGGGATGTGGATCCACTCCACACCAAGTGAGGACTCAACTCCCTGTGGATGAAAAAGATTGAAAAATAAACTGTTTCTTTCAAGACTTAGAGATGTGTGTTTCAATCCAAATAACCACAGAGGAGGTTAAGTAGCTGGTGAGAACTTGAGGGAAAGGGGGGTCTTCCAAGGAAGGAGAAATAGAATCTGGCATTATAAAGAGATGAGGGGGAGACTAGACTGGAGGATTAGATAGGAAGAGGGTGGAAGAGGACAACATATGGGGAGGGAAAACAGCACTAACAGCCATTTGAAAACCCATGTAGAAACCTGCTACTCTAGACGCTTCCTAAAATATATGCTATACGAAAGGAATTTAAATGAAGTCCACATATAATGAGGGAGACAAGGCCCCAACTAGACAACTAGGGTTTTGTTTTGATTTTTGTGTTTTGGTTTTTGTTTGAGGCTTGAGGAGAGATAGAGAACATGAAGTTGGGTGGGTAGGGAGGTGGGGAGGATCTGAGGAGTTGAGGAGGGGAAAGAAAATGATCAAAATACATTGTTCAGGAAAAAAAATGGTGTCTGCATTGAGCACATAGAGACACTTGCCGTGGTCCTTGCTCCCTAAGCAATGCAGTGCAGTCACTGTGAGCACTGACCTGTGGTATGTTTTATAAATCACCTAGAGGTGATCTGAGTTCCGTAAGAGGATATGAAGAGGTTACATGCATACGCTGCACTTTTTTGGTTTCTTTTTGGAGACGGCGTCTCACTCATTAGCCCAGGCTGGCCTACAACTCAGAGTGATCCTTCTGTCTCAGCTTCCTAGTACTTAGTTTTGCTTTGAGATAGGATCTTACTAAAGGATCTAGGCAGGCCTTAAACTTCTAATCCTCCTGCATCAGTCTCCCAAGGCTGTAGCTGGGATTAGAGGCCTGTGCCACAGGCCCAGCTTGTAGATAGACCTTGGCTGAGCCCACAGTGTCTTTACGTCACAATTTTAAAAACTATTAAAGGAAACCATATGATGTGGTGGCATGCTGTATACCCCAATAAAGCTGACCTGGAGATCAGAGGACAGAGACAGCCACTGAATTAGACATAGAGGTCAGGCCGTGGTGGCCCACACCTTTAATCCTATCACTCAGGAGGCAGAGATCCGTCTGGATCTCAGTGAGTTCAAGGCCACACTGGGCTACATGAGAGAAACAGAACCAGGCAGTGGTGACACACATCTTTAATCCCAGGAAGTAAGATGGCAGGACATAGAAAGGGATATAAAGCATGAGGAAACAGGAACTCACTCTCTTAGGACTGAGGATTTCATAGAGGTAAATCCTGTTCTGCTTCTCTGATCTTTCAGCTTTCACCCCATTATCTGACTCTGGGTTTTCTATTAATAAGACCTTTTAAGATTCATGTTACAATATGGTGTATTGTGTGTGGAAGGGCTGGGGGAAGGGCGGTGGTGTTAAGAACTCTGAGATCGTCCTACTGGGGGATCTAGAAGTAGAGAAACCTAAGTCATTTGGATGCCTTAGGTGCCCAACCAAAAATAACCAGATGCTCATAGAATATTAATACTTGACAAAGGAAGCAAAGAGGAATTTGATTTGTGGGGAAAGGGAAGTCCTTTAACTTTTATAGAATTTGTCTCTTTTGAAAGGAATGAGTAATAGAACTGATTTCCACTCATCTGTACCTTCCCATCATGCTGTTTCTGGTGATGATGATGATGATGATGATGCACAGGTCTCACCTCTTGGCAGCCCCAGGGAGCATCACCCGTGCTGCAGACCTTACCTCACTAGTCCTGATCCTGTGCCCAGGCACTGTGCCCATCTTAGCCCAACTTTCAGAAATGATTGCAACGCAAATAAACACGACACCGAGTCCCCTACTGTGTGTATTTCAATGTTGGATGTGAACATGTACAGCAAGGATGAACTCGTCCAGGTTCTGGGTTGCAGGCAACAAATCTCACTGTAGTCAAGTGAAGC